CTCAACCAAATCACTCAATTTCTTTTAGAATGAAGCTAGAACTGTCAGCTGTCAAAAGACATAGCAATAACATAGATGCAAATGACACTAGTACTTCCAAAAATGAACTAGTGCCATCTGTCACAAATATGTGTCATGACTTTTCCGACAACCCAATAGTAAGTGAATGCTGGAACTGTGGTCTTCTTTTGATTCTTTGGGGACTCTGTGGCGTGAAGCTGAGTGACCTAGGAGGACTAAAGGGCATTGATACAGTAAAAGGTGGAAAAGATTGTCTTTCTGTGAATAGTCATCTGCCTAGCACCTATTAAAATAAATAGCCTATATAAACATCAGGCCAAAGCCGACAAAATCTGCTTCAGAAGAAACATCTAGACTTTTGACTGCATTTTCCCTTTGCAACTATTATTGGGTTGTCGGAAAAGTCTGACACATTTTTGCAATGAAAATCATAGAAAAATACACCATGACTTTTCCGACAGCCCAGTGATTTTTTCACTAATGTGAGAAGCATTTAGCGGTGCCCACAATATCGAAAGCACTGGACTGCATGCTAGAGATGCAGAGATAAACAAAATGAAATCTCTGTCCTGAAAGAGCTCACATTCAAAGACTGGTGCTAGACAAGAGAGCTGACAGCTGATTTCACTGTGAAATGTGTTCTTATGGAAGGGACCATGTGATGTCAGGGGAGCTCAGATATTAAGTATCTGATTCAACCTGAAGGTTTAGAGAAGGCTTCCCTGAGGAAGTAATGTCTCAATGGTCATGAAGGACAAGTAAGAGTTGACCAGGTGAAGGTGACATGGTAAGAGGGACAGAAAGGTGAGAGCATGATATGTTGAGGAAACTGCAACAGGTTTAAGGTGGTCAGAACAGAGTGCAAGGGAAAAAACATGAGACACTAGGCTGGAGAGAAAGATAGGAGCCACATCCTGTGGGGCTTTGAGAACCTTGCTATGGAATTTGAAATTTATAGTATGGGCCCTCAATAATTGTTTTCTATTAGTATTACTGTTTAATGGGGGATGGGAGAGAAAAAGGCTCCATGGTCACTTCTAGATTTCTACTTGGAGTCCCACATAGATGGCAGTGCTCTACATCAATACAGGGAATTCAGGGATGGTGTAGTAGTGGACGGTGCCCCGCCCTTATCCCCGTTACCATGCATCCTCCAGCTGTTGTGAATCTTGGCTGATTAATTCACAGCTGCTCCATATCCAGGAAAATTGGCCTAGAGCCTAAGCCAAAGGGGAGCCACCTTACCTAAAAGGTTAGGTTTCAGCCACAGACCTCAGCCAATGATTGACTGACTGAGGACAGTACAAAAATCCAACTCTCTAGCCTGAAGGTCGGACTCATGGTATAACGTGCATTTCAGCATTTCTGTGATAAGATCAAACTGGAGCTAGTCTCCAGGTAGGATCACATACTTGCTGAGCTTTTATGTCTGCCCTATCTTGCTTCCCTCTCTCCCTTTCTCTTGGAGCATTCTCTCAGTGAGTAATTTAAACAGAAATCGCCATCTCAGGCTCAGCTTTTAGAGAATCTAACCTAAGACAGATGGGGAAGCAATTTTTTGGTGGTGGAGAAGGCTGATTAATTTAGTTTGGGACATTAAGAATGAGGTGTGTGTGGCACATAAAGGTGGAACTATTCCACAGACAGTTGGGTATTCAGGGCTTGGTGCTCAGAAAAGAATTTTGGTTTTGATAAATAGACTTGGGAATTGTAAGCATGTAAATGGAAGGTGAGATTAATGGGAGTGGATGAGACAACCCTAGGAATATAGAATAAAAAGTGAAGAGGGAAATACCAACATTTAAAAGATGGGAAAAGGAAGGACATCATGCATAAAGACTTAAAATGAGGCCATAGAAGTGGAGAAAAGCCTATTTGAACATCACAGTAAGAGTTTCAGGAAAGGAAGATAAATATCAGAAAGAATTGTAGGAAAATGTGACAAATACCAGTGAAATCAGGTAAGGTGAAGAATAAAAAGTATCTTGTGAATTTGACCATTAAGAAATTATTAATTACAGAAACTTACCCTATAAATATCTTTACATAGATATGCAAAGATATACATAAAGGCTTAGAAAGGTAGTAGTGCGAATGAACAGAAATGAGCAGATCTGAGATATATTTTGGAGCTGTAAATCACATGACTTGTAAGCATGGGGAGTAAGGGAAAGGATGAAATCAAGGATTACTCCATTTTGAGCATTGAGAGTATAGTAGGACATTAATTGAGATGGAGTACACTGGCTTAGAATATGAGCCTACTTCTCCAAAAAGGTGATCCAAACTGAAGTTAAATTATCCCTGGTGGGAATGGCAGCTATGGACCACCAAAGCTGCCTCCTAAGCATAAAAGCCTGACACTCATGACAATTTTCTTAGTCCAATGCAGCCTAAACCAGCTAAGGCAGACATGGAAAATCAGCCCACATGTAGCAAAGTGGGCAACTTATTTTAAGATTTCATGTACCATCTCTTATGGACCAAGCAGCCAAAACTACTGGGCTCTCGACCTCTGTTGGAAGACAGAGTGCAAAGTGGGTGTGTCAGGGACTGCTAGGTGTCCAACACAAATCTACTTTCTTTTCTTATTGGAAAAACAACTAGTCCAAAATTTCCAGCCTCCTTTAGAGCTAACTGTAGCCATATGATGGAACTCTAAGCAATGGAATGTAAAAGGAAGTGATAAGTGATTTTTTTTCCAATCTAAGAAGTGAATATACACCTTCTACGTTATTCCCCCACTTCTATAGATGAATGCAGATGATGACAAGGCCCTAAGAGATAGCAGAACCATAAGATGGTCATATCTTGGGTCCCTGTATCACCATATTAGAAGAGACTCACCAGCCAACAAACACCTACCTTATATTTGGATGAGAATTAAACTTCTGCTATGTCTGAGACATTAAATATTTTGTTATAGCATCTAGCTTTACACTAGTAGCCCAGCATGGAAGAAATTTCAGTCCTAGATTTTCCCTAGATCTTTATATTCATATGTCCTCAGCTACAACCAATAGAGAAGATTACATATAGGAAACAGATACTTACATGCAGTCATGTCTTACTGATATTCTGGACAACCCCAGGGAACAGAGAAAGCTTGGAGCACCTTCCTCAGCCAGATGGTCATCTGAATATTTACTGGGTAGGCATGTACTTCATTCACCCTTTCCATAATATCTCCCTAGCTGGTTACCATCAAAAGTTCGAGAGTTGAATGTGTCCTGTCTCCCAAGATTTTGTTAGTCCTAAATCTGACATGAAATCTTAAAGGTTTCAGAAATCTTTTATGTACTTGAACTTCAAGGAGGAACCAAGATTTTAAATGATTTGGGAGGAATCATCCTCCTCCCTGTCTTATCTACAGGCTACTTTCTTAAATAAACCATCCAAGGATTCTTTGAACATAATTGGTGGGATAGGAGAAATCACCGTTTTTCTTATGTTAATAGGAATTACCAGATGACTTTTCCAGGTCTGGCAACAGAAGATTTTAAATAATTATGGGATATGTACTTAATAATAATCATAATAGCTACCATTTTACAAAAAAGCTACATGTCAAGAAATGTATAAGATACTTTACATGCATTATCTTTTTTAATCCTCATCCAACACTGGGGAGTAGACATTAATATACCCCTTTTACAAATAATGAAAGTAGGACTCAGGGAGTTTAGGTGATTTGCCAAGTTAATACAGCTCTTAAGTGGCAGAGCTGGAAATTGAGTCCTTCATGTCTCTTCGACTCCAAAGCCCATTTTTCTGTCATTGCATCATGTGGTCATATCAAGCCAGTAGCAACCCTGCAGGCTCCCTGCACTGATTTGTTAAGGGGTCTTCCTAACTGCCGGTGTTACTTACTTTAGAGAAAGGATTGATTTTAGTGGGACTATATATAAAAGAGGGCTTTTCATACCATTTCAAACATATCGCTTGCACTTGATTTGATGGACTTAACATCTCCAAAATCCCCGAAAGGGAGCTTTTTCAGCCACACCCCATCACCCTAAAATGAAAAGGTAGAGAATGATTATGAGACTTAGTTGGCAACAGCTTCAGAGAAATGTCGCTTCCACATGAAGGGTTAATAGTTAGACCATCAATCCAAACAGACTTTGTTTCTCCTCTCTCACCTGCCACCCTCTGGACATTCTATATTTTGAGCTAAAAATGAGGTCATACAGAGAAGTTAAAAATTCCAATTAACTAGAGACAGAAAAACAATTGCAGGTATGTGGACTCCCAGAAAGGAATGATACCACTCTGAAACAACTCCTTTAAATAACTGCAGAAAGTGCTAGGTCATTTCACTTATTCATAGCTAAGTGATGTAGCACCAGGTTCCCTGTGATTAATGGTGATGGTTGGTGGTTGCAGTTCTCACTGCCTTGAGGCGTCTGTGGCAGGAGATGCAGTGTGGCAAATGTTTCCTGCATTTACCTGGATCCGTTTTTCTCTTGTGAGGCAGGCTATTTTGGGGGCCTCCTATGCTTTCATTATAAACCGATTGGCTTAACTATAGATTAAATATTATTTTTATTTGGATTCACAAATGTACTAGCATCGTAATATGAGTAATCTAGATTCTTTCAGAAGTCTATTTCTTATTTTTTTAAGTACAAAACACCTATCTCTAAGGCTGCTGTCAAGTCAAAAACAATTATTGTCTTCCCTTTAACAGAGATATTTAATTGATAATTTGATTTTACTTGCATAGCCTCAAAGGTTCATCAGTCAGCAAACTATTTAGTTTCTGTCCAACCCAAATTTTACAAAGCAACGCAAATATAGATTCCTTTTCTCAATAATAATAATAACAATAATAAGAATAAGAATAAGGATAATGCCTAATATTTGCACAGTACTCCCTACTCTTCAAAGTGCTTTTACATCTATTACCTGTAGCCTAGAGATTCCATTTCAGGCTGTGACAATTTGTCATTAACTAGAGATAATAAAGCAGAGAGCTCTGTGCAAATTCTCAGAATAAGAGAGTGTAATCACTCACTTATTAAGGAATATATCCAGCTGTGGCACTGCATCTGGTGACCTACTGGAGGCAAAGGCTACTAATGGGAGCCTGCACTTTGTGTTAGAGGACATCTTCTAGCCAAAGAGCTGAAAACTCTTTAACTACAGAGTGGCTCTTAGAGGCCTTCATCAGCTGAACAAAGCTGTGCCAGCCAGGCTCAATGCCCACAGAGTTCAGAAAGGTAGTCCAGGGTCAGTGCCTGACAGCAGTAGAACGGTCAAAGTACCAAAGGCAGCCTTACTGGTCTTGTGCCCAGCAATTCTTCAAGTGTGGCCCTGGTCCAGATGTGTCATGGTCAACTGGGAAGTGGTTAGAAAGGCCAATTCTCAGGCCCCACCTCACACTTGCATTATTTAATCATAGACGTCATAAGGGCCTGACATGAGCTTGACGTTTTAGCCTTCAGGAGACTTTGCACCTTAGAGGAATCAAAGGCTAATGCTTAAGTTGAGAGAATAAAACTCTAACTGGTAACTTA